AGAAGATGAGTATGAATCCACGGCGCCAAACATGAAAGTTGGATTGGGACTTGCAGGGCAAGCAGTGACCAAATCCAAAACAGAAGTTGCAGGTTTGAGCTGGTGAGGGAAGTTGAAGGCCAAGTTATCGACTTTATGCTCATAGATTTTGCCGTTTCGGTCAAGTTTATAGCGAGAAGTACCCTGAAACTCACCCTTTGCCTCCCATGGAACTCGAGGTACACCTTTAAGATTCCACCTGATGAGAATCATGTTCTCTGATGGTTGCCAAACCCTGAAGATCTCAAGTGAGATATCCCTGAAGAGAATCTTGCCATGAAATCTGAGTGCCCAGAAGATCAATTTGTACTTGTCAATCCCAGAGAATGTGTTCATTGGATCCACAAAGGTTATATCATCCCTGAAAGAGCAAACAAAAAGAATCTGATTTATTTAGTCGGATGATTAATTTCTAGTTCTCATCGACAGATCACCCAAAGGAGAAGAGAAAAAAACCTGTAAATGTCGTAATTGAGATCTTTGGTGAAGAGAAGAGGCAAATCTTCACGAAGGGTACGTACAGCTAAACCGAGATTGATGTAGAAGTCATCTTTGCCGTGCTGGTACTTATCCTGCGCACTCGGTTTGGTCTTAACCTGCGCACCTCGAACAGGAGGAGGAGCCTGGACGCTAAAGAGAGAAAGTGGAGAGAGAGTATCTTCGTCAAACTCGTAGCTATTGGAAGAAGACGATGATGATGATGATGATAAAGCTTGGCTGGAAATGGGTTTGTCTTTGAGTGATTTTCCGGTCGGAAGAAGGAAAGAAGGAGAGAGATTGGGGAGAAGAAACGCCATAGCTGCTGGAGTTTAGAGCTTCTCTTGTTTTCTCTTGTCTTAATTTTTCAAGGCGAAGTAAATCAGAGGGAGAGGAGGATGAGTTGAGAAGAGCGAAGATGCCCGAAGAAGCTTTGTTGGAAGATAAACAGCTGTTCGTTTTTTGAGTGGTAATCAAACCTTCGCGTTGTTCTTTTTCTTCTTTTTTTTTTCTTTAATTTTGACTTATTTTTATTTGGTGTTCAAAAAAAAAAAAGACTTATTTTTATTTCTTTTTCTTCTTTTATTTGCTATATATATATATATTTAATATGAACAAAATAAAAAGCTACTGAAGCCACCAAAAATATCAAAAAAACGTAGTAATTTATTTAATTATTTTTAATATTTAAATGATTTTTTTAGGAAAATATTTGTACATTATTAAAATACATTATAGTAACAGTAATTTTGGAAAATAAAATTTCATGTTTAATCTCACATTTATAATACTATGTTATCGTATAAAAAAAACTTTGGTTTATATTTCCCTTGCCATAAAGAATTCTTATATTTTTTGATTTTTGAAGATATTGTCTACTATACTTTTGATTTGTTTCTAAACATATTCTATTTATTTTTAAAAATAAAGTGTAATCAAATTAAAGTTGGTTAAGAAATAAAAATGTTGATTATGTTATCCAATAATAAAAAGAAAAAAAATTCAATTGAAATTAAATTGGTGATAAAAAAAAAGTGGTGGGCAGAAACAGTTTCATTGACGAAGATTTATTGGTTAGTTAGAGCATGCACATAGGTGATACTCATAAAGTATCATTAACAATTTTTTAGTATTATTTATAATGTTTGTTTATTGTTTGAGATTTTTTATGATACTGGTAATAAATCTGTTTCCAGTGGTGAGACCGGTATCGGTATCATT